GGCTTTGAAATGCCATCTGGTGTTTAATGTTATTGTGCTCCGTTCTCATAGTGCCTGTGCTGAATCATATCTTAAAAGTTCAACAAGCATTCACTCACAGCCACCATTCAATATGATTGTGTCATTATCAAAGATTTGGATTTATCGAACGCAGCCTGCAAACAAAGCAGATTTTACAGACCCTTCTCCCTGAGGCTCCACTGACAGAAGTCTTCAAGTATGAAACCTGTGTGTCTTACATCTTTAGCTGCCATTCAGATGTACAGCAATCCACTTTAACTTCCAAAATTATTTTTTGAGACATAATCATAGATGTTAGAAGAACAGGAAAGGCTTTTATTAGGATTGTGTTAATCTTCTAGAGGCTGAGTTTTTCAGATCCTACCTATTTAGATATAACTAAACTAGATTTCCAAACATTCTGCACCTCTCCCTTTGAAATGATGCTTCAGATGTTTTCAATACTTCTCCATTCAGTATTTCAATTGCATTTAAAAAAACCAAGCACGTTTCATTTTCTTACTGAAAAGCTTGTATTACACATAGAAAACAGAAAAACAGCTCTTCCCCTCCCAAACAAGAATGTCCAGCAACAGATAATCTGCATGTGATAGACAGCTTACCCACAGAAAGTGCCTTTAAATACTGTCTTCTGCTCCTGCCTTTTTATATATTACTACTATTATTATTCTCTGGACAGAATCTTGACATCCTTGAAACCAGCAGCACAATGCCCAGTAACTTCAATAGGATTTCACATTCCGTGTATTTAGTTTTCCACCCTGCTTACTCTGAACTACATTTTTGTAAACCAAAGGATTTCTTGGATGAACTTGCAACCTGCCATTTCCAAGAAGTTGTTTCACATGATAGAAACCCAAAATTCTAATCCTTATTTTTTACAAAAATATATACTTTTCATGTTTGTGTCTTTGTACACATGGTCTCCCTACACTTTTATTTTTCCATGTAAATAGATATAGATGTTTATTACTAATTTTTTCTTTAAATTAGAATATAAGTTAATCAAGCAGCAAATTTTTTTCACATGTAGTTAAATTAATAAACTTACAAATGTTAAAGCTCTTTTATACAAAGAGCTGTAAATTTTTCCTTTAAAAGTACTTTAATTCCTGATCTTGTGCATAGAGCTTTTAGAAAAACAATGTAGTATTCTGTTTTTATTTAATAATGTTTGGAATGCTTTTGTATGAGACACAACTGCAGAGCATTTTTTGCATAATATTCATGAACTATTTCCCCTGAAATGCATTTTTGTTTTTATACCTCAGCGAACAGCTCTGTTTGAGTAAATGATCCATCCTTGACTCATTGTGTATACAGAGAGAAGATCTGCCTTTGATTGTTGTTTTAATAAACTGGAAGTCTGCCAATGTTCTCTGGTAAGAGGAAGAGAGCATTAATGATACCACTGAGAAACTCGTCCTTGTCTGGTCTTATAGTAAATTTAACCCCCACTGATGCTTTTTTCGAACTGGCTGTTCAGTCTAGTCAAAAAGCACACAGTAGTAACTGCTGTGATTTGAAAGCAAGAAACTTTTACAAGTGCCAAATGTAGCACATTTTAAATTCTTCTTACAGCACTTAGAGGACAGTGATTAATGAGTTTGTTATCTATCAAAAACCTTTCGTTTGTGTTATCTATCAAAATGCTTCTCTCTTGCTGCCTGGTGCAGGACAGGATTTATGGTAAAGAAAAACCTGCCATCCATCCACAGTATCTAAATTTATCAACTCCACACATTCATGCAAATAATGTTAAACTATAAATCTGTAGCTATCTGGAGATTTAAAACAACAACAACAACAACAACAAAACAGCACCAAACTAACCCAAAAAGAAAAGAAGAGAAAAGAGAAATTTCGAACTGTCAAAACAGTGACCTTAAAAAGAAAATGAAGTTATTTCCTTCCAGCAGCATGAGCAATAGAGTATTCTCTTCATGCCACCAATTTCATATTAAAACTAAAATATGAAATTGCCAGTGATCAGGAGGCTTTGCTAGCAATGCTCAATAATGTTTCTGATTGTTTTATTTTATTCTGTAGTTCTCTAGAAGATGTCTGCAATATATCTGATAAGGGCCATAGATTTTTATACAGAGAACTCATAATTGCTTTGCTTTGTTCTCTAGCTCTTAAGCTTTCACAGAGAAAACCGCCTGCACCTTGCATAAAGTACACTTCCCTCCATCTGTCAGGCAGGGAATTCTCTGTATGAGAGCAGTAAATGCAGAAAGAGGAGAGGAACATATGGCCTGTCTTAGTCCTCCCACCCCTCCCCCTGTTACCTTGTGATTGCTCTCTCTCATGCATTTACATTTTTAAATCAATTCGTATAATGGTTTACCAGCCACAGAACGCTAGCTAGGGATTGCAGACGTGCCAGTTTCTGCCGTGTAGGATATATTAGTTCATGGTGTTTGCCCAATAGGACAGGACCTGCTTTATGTCTCCTTACCGGGGAGGGAAACCACCAGGCTTATTTCTTTTGTTTCACAGTTAATTTAAACTTTGTACCTTTGAGATTTTTGAGAGCATGAAGCCCGCACAATAGGAGATTTTTTGAGCCCCTATTTTACATATAGAGGCCATGAGATTTCTGAGGTAAGAACATGTGTTTTTCACAAGTTTGTCACTTGGTATTGTATCTGTTCAGTTCCCACTCATGGAAAAAGCTGGCTGGGATATCATGCTGTAAAGTCACGTTTGCCAATGATCAGCAGCAGTGACTCGGTAAATTTGTCCCTTTTGCTGCACTCACATCACAGCCAAGTTATCAACCAACACCCACAAAAAAATATATATTAAATAAACAACTTGGGGTTTGTTTGGTTTGGTTTGGTTTGGTTTCTTTTGTTTGTTTTTTTGGGGGTTTTTTTAGGTTTTTTTTTTTTTTGGGGGGGGGGGGTTGATTGGGGTTTTTTTGCTGGTTTTTTTGTTTTTGTTTCTTTCCTGCCCTAAGCATGAACACCAGCAACAGCTGTCTTCAGAAGACAAAAATGTGCTTCTTTATTCCAGGATTATTGGATGCGATCAAATTCAGTGAAATTATGTCCTCTGGCCTAGTTCCAGGCACCCATTGGTACAGATGCTTCAACCATTTTTAAGGCCACTGTGAGTTCCATATTTGAAAGTCTGCACAATTGAGGATCAGAGTGACCACTAGAAATTTAATTTTTTTTTTTTAGCTATTCATTATTTTTTTTTAATCAGTAGACTTAAGCAATTATGTTGGTAAAATCTTCTCTATTTCATGCAGTCCAGAAAGCTTGTGGAGGGTGATGGTAAAAACTTTCTGACTCAAATCCTAGGTGTGCCACCTAAGGGTGATGCACTCCTGAATGTGCTGCTCAGCAACAAGAAGGAACTGGTTGGTGCTTTTGTCTTAAGGATCTTTGGGAGGTAAGGTGATTACTTTTTGTTTTAGAAAATTACATATTTAAAATAACTTGGCATATTTTCTTGTGGAAATATTAAATTGCTTAACTATAGCAACAAAGTCTCAAATGTACGGAATTAAGCATGAAAAGAAAGGGGGAATGGCAATATTAATTAATGTACCTTTCAATCCTGATCATTTCATGATCATGAAAAAATCTAAAAAACAAAAGCTGGAGCATAATAACAAGAAATTTTTGTTCAACTCACCTGTAAATTAGTTAGTGTAACTTGACATATAAAGTGCCCAAATGGGTGTTATTAAGTCTAATTAGTCTTGGCTACTTTCTCAAAAGTGTAACATGAACAGTGAAATAACATCCCTAGATGAACTTGTTTTGTGAGGTGAAAACTAGAAAAGTTCAGAGAGATGAATTATACTATGATAGCAGTATTTTTGTTGAAGTAGATTTATGTGCTGTTGCTGTTGTCTCCCATGCCCTGGTGATATAAGTCACATTCCCTTCCAGCATTCCTCCTCCTCCACTTTACATACTCCATCATTATCAAATGCCTCCTTCTTGTTTAAATAACATAGTACTTAACCCTTGTTTGATGTTGGGAATGTAAGGCTGTTGAAATTGCAACTAGAAGGATATGAGAATATGTATGGATATTTATTCAAAATCATTAACTTTAGAGCTATTCATCCAATTAACTGAGTTGGAAGCTGTTAAACATATAAAATATTTTGCTCAAAAACTCTGACCAAATTAACAATATTTGATCTAGTTTTTAGAAATTATGCATATAATGCTACTAAATGTTCTTTGTTACGGTTACATGATGTCTAAAATATGGGATCTTTCCTGGTTAGGTGTGTGTCTAGATCTTATAGATTAATTTTAAATTATTTCATTGTGTACATAACAGGTAGGTAAAGAACAGGAAGATAAGAATAAGTATGGCTATCTTTGACTGAGCTCCATGGGGTATTTGGCAACTAGTCTGGAAAGCATAGCTCTTTGGTTTCCATGTTCCTCATGGGGGAATAATAAGTAGTCTTGTGAGAGGGAAATGGGATGTGGACCACCAGGAATTGTTCTGAAATTTTTAAGGCGGGGCGTAAATTTTGCTTCCAAGTACCTTTCCTGTCATATCTCCTGCCATTTTCCTTCAAAAGAACAACTTTTTGAGCCTCTTGCAGAAATGACATGATGTCACAAGAAGCCTGAATTTAGACCCTGAAGGGCAGGGTGGAAATTCAAAAATCCAATAGCATGGTCAGGAGAGCCAAAGGAAAAGAAACTTCCTCCTTAAACACAATAGAGATGAAGGTTGCTTTTTGTCATAAATTACCTAAAATGGGTTCTGCTTTATGCAAAGTTTCATACTTGTAACTTCCATTTTTATCCAGCATTTATTTTTAATTAAACATGAAAAACAATGAAGGAAAAATAGAGTACAATTCATTTTGAAAAGCAGATTTTGTGAATTTTTTGTTTTGCAGATACAAAGGAAGCTCAGTAGCAGGTTGCAAACTGCTTTTCAAAAACCCATAATGCCACAATTTATCCACACAAGCAAAATATTTCTCACTGCAAGCAATAAGGAGGTTCTGGAGTCCACCAAAAACAAGTGATCCAAGTGATACAGCAACAAGAAAAGGTGTGTGCTGTGCTGAACATCATACACACCAACAGGAAGGGATTCCTTGGGGCTGTGAGTGTCAGACAGTGACCACCAGATAGTGGATTTCAGGATCCTGAGAAGAGAGAATATTAAAGGTCAAAATATTCAAGGTCAGCTTAAATGGTGTTGTAAGCAACTGACCTAGTTGAAGACATCCCTGTTTATTGCAGGGGGTTTGGATTAGGTGTTCTTTGGGGGTCCCCCCCTACTCCAATCTGATATTTGATTCCATGGAAGGCTGATGGTGACAGACTATTTTTGGTGACATCCAAGGACAGAGTAAGAAGCAATGGACCCAAAATCAAACCCATGAGGTTTTCCCCCGAATATCACAGTACACTTTTTCACTCTTTAGATAACCAAGTACAGGAGGAGGCAACCCAAAGAAGTTGTGGGGTCTCAATCCTTAGAGGTGTCAACCCTGATATGGTCCTGGGAAACTGGATCTAGGTGGCCCTGCTTGAGTGGGAAGGTTGATTGAGTGACCTTCAGAAGTCCTTCCCAGCTCCATTTCCCCGCTGCATTCTATAAATGCAGCAGTTGTAATTATTTTTTTTTTCAGAAGATTATTTATTTGCAAGTTAGTAAAGCTAATTTAATAGAAATAGATAGTTATCATTTTCAAGTGACATACAGCTGTAATTTTGCAAGCAGGTATGGCAATTTTGCTTCATATGTGTATGTAGCAAGCAGAAAAGATGCAATCAAACATGGTATGAGAAAGACTTTTCCATTTATGGCTTGCTATTTATACTGAGCTATTTCAAAATTCTAACTTCAAGCTTAATATGTAAGATATTTTAAATAATTGATAATGTACTTAAATAATTAATCACTGGAAAGATACTTTTTCAAAGAGAGGGTGCATCTATTTACATTCCACAGTGCTTGAGAAAAGATGGTGGTTGCCTTTGAATTACTAGGGTAATTGTCTCTGGTGACACGCAGAGAAGCTTCACAAAAGCAAATAGCATTAAAAGGTGCCTCCTGCTGATTCAGTGTGAGTGAATAACATGGATCACCACGTCAGAAAGAGTAGATAGATAGATAGATAGATAGATAGATAGATAGATAGATAGATAGATAGATAGATAGATTAGGGCACATGCACTACAGATGCACCTCTCTTCTTAGTCCACTGATGGAGCAAGGAATTACCCACTGGGGAGACAGAAGAACAGAAACCTTGTCTCACTTTACTGCCCCCCATCCTCAGCTTGGACACACTCATGCTTATAAATGCTTTTCCTGTTTTCATGTGCTGAAGTTGATGGCAAAGGGCTCTCCAGGGAGAGGTTACTGCTGTGATGGTGTTTGGGCTGCTCTGGGTTCCCTGGGGAGATGTAGCTGAGCACTCAGTGTTGGTGCCCAGATGGAAATAAAAAATGAAATCTCACTTTGCATGTAGGAAGACTTTTGAATCTTGAAATCTGATTTCTCAGCAGGTAACTTCTGCAATATAAAAAGGACCAATAATTTGAGGGTGTTTTAGAGCATAAGGGTTTGTAATGAGAGATTTGTTATCCTATGCAGTCTTTGCCACAGAACAGTGAAACTAATACCTCTCAAAATTCATCCCCCACTAGTCATTTATGCATTTATTTCTTCCACCCAAAGGAATGCATCTGATAAACTACCACATTCACTGTAACTGAAGTAAAGATTGTCTTCAAATTCCTATTTCATTCAAGAAAATGAGGAAATAGAAGATCTGTGCCAGGCAGCTTTGGTTAAGTCAGATGTTTGTGACCCTGCTACATTTACAAGTTTCTATTGATATTCCACCATAGAACAAACTAATGCAGTCTGCATGTAAAGCAGCATTACGCTCAGAAATAAGTTTCCCTAGTTTTGGGCATGCATGTACTAAACACCCAAACCTTTTGGTTACTTAATTACTGGTTCCCTAAACACTTTTTGAGGTAAAGACCACACCAAAATGTTTTAATTTCACCCATGATATGTGAAAACGTAGAAATAGTCTCCTTTAAGCTAATTTTTATTCTGCTCTGTCAGTTTATTTCTGAAGTTGTTGGAGTTGTCTACTTTCCTTATTGTTCATTATTTTCAGAAATAGATCTAAATTAATTCACATAAATAAAAGAGCTTTCAGACTGATTTTTACATGAGTTCCAAAAGTCACATACACAAAAACGTGCAAAACAAAAGTACTGGAGACTGTTATTGTGCCATGCATTCTATAATATTTTCCTACTTTGATGATGCTTCTCTTCTTTCACAAATCCTTATGGGGTGAATTTTCATTAAGAAATTGTTAAAAATTCTTAGAAATTATCTCATTTTTTTGCTATAGTAAAGCTTAGCGGGATTAAGACTTTTTTGTTTTACACTTTTTTCTAGTAGGATTCTGAAATATCTTCAGTTTATTCCAGCTATTCGCTCAGCCATAACAGCAGGGAATTCACATACAAGCTTGTGTTAATTACTTTGGACTGCATTAGTTCTGGTTTTTGTTCACTGTGTGGTTCACTATATGCTGGCAATAACATTCATCAAGATGAGACAGAAGTACAGATCCATGGAAAATAAAAAGTAAAGTTACATTCTTAATCTAAAACAAAATTAAACAACAAAAAAAAACCCTAAGAGAAAAATCCAACCAAAAACAATATAATGGAGTTATATGGAATTCAATTGTTTCAGATATTTGTGTTGCTCTTCCAATGCTGAATAGTGGCTCTATCCTGAATAAACATCAATCCAGCACTCCTAAGGAGTTTCAAAACTAATCCAATTGTACTGGAAGTTTCTTTTACCACATTTTCCATAATTTGAAACATCCACTTCTGCATAATGGATACATGCTTGTGATTTACTGTAGCCTTAAAGATACAGTTGTATTGTGTAGGGAGTACACTGTCAGTTGTCTTAGCATCAGACATGTTTCAAATAAATATATGATTTGCTGTCTTTTATCATGTGTTTTACAAGCAAGCTGAAGATGACTGCTTAAAAAGAATGATCAGCTGCATTTTTCATCTTAAATCAGCTGGATTCCTTACAATGACAATAACGTCTGTGTTGAAGGTGTTGGACCTTGACTGTTGACCTGATACAAGGATAATAGGTATGTTTTTAATCATCACTTGTCTTCTCCAGATGAATAGACTCTAAACTGATGTGTCAATATTACTCGCGATAAGGAGAGAATTGACTCTACCTTCCTTTGTAGTCTTACACTTCCAACAAATAAACCCCCTGACTTTGCCACTATTTTAGGCAGTACATGCAAAGTACAAATTTAAATGTACTTCTGTCTATTAGAACAATTACAGTGGGAACTAGGAAGTCTGCTGAATTCCTGGTAATTGGGAAAGGAGGGCACTGTTCTCAAACTCAGATGGGTGATGGAAGGTAACTTCCATGCCCTTTTCCTATAAATATTTATGAAACTGTCTCACAAGGAGAGGTGAGAGTGGGGGGAGAAAAAGGTCCTCATCTTTTATATTATTATTTGAAGAATTAAAATCATTCTGAAGCTTGAAAAATATAGCCCCTGTTATGCCATTCCCCAGCACTCATGCCCTTGTTGAAAACTAAATTAGGATGCAGCACACAATTTCTGCAGGGTTCTGTTGGATGAAATTCACAAGTCTAGAAACATACTATAAATCCTGCCATTAAAGCCAGCTGGGATGTATTAGAACAGCAGTTGTGAATGAGAATTCACCTTCAATAAGGATAAAAGAGGAATTGTCAGGATTGTCTACAGGGTGTGCCTACATAAACCTAAAATTGTATGGAACCTCTTCACCCTATCCATTCTCCATCTCAATAATACTAAAGTATTGAAAAATCGTCTATGTAAAAAAAAAAAAAAAAAAAAAAAAGGGGGGGGGGGGGGGGGAAAGGAAAAAAACCCCAAAGAACAAAATAGAAAGGGTCACACAGAAAAAACTGCTCTGGACATTCTACATTCTATCCCTATTCTATATTCAATATTTTTCCATCTAAACTGAGTCAACAACCAGCATATACTACGGCAAGTGAATTTGCCTAAGCATAGATGTTATCTGTAAAGACATGTCCCTATAAAACAAATAAATTCAAGTTGCTATTAGTTATTTCTAGACAAAAAATTTAGACCTTTTTGTGATTTTCAACTGTGTAAAATGTAGTTGAAAGAAGATTTTTTTGTCAATGTGCATTTACAAACAAATTTAAAGCTGGTTTACTGAACCTCTAAGATCTACACATTTCAGCAGATGGTCTCTTGTGTGACATTTTTCCCAGGAGAGTCCAGGTGCATTCTACTATAGTGTATAGTATCAAATGAACAACTGCTTTCATGGCTGAGTAAGTACTTTCTAAAAAGAAAGACTGCTTTTCTCACAGATCTGATCTGTGTTTGTGAAATATGACACTACTATCAATTTCAGAACAGAGAATAACCCACAGAAGCACACAAACTCAAACACGATAAATAGCATGTCTTAATCCTAATCCTATTCCCAATCAGTAAAGCATTTCTGACCTGCAGTTGAACTGAGATTTTCAGTTGAGGTAGAAAACCCCATTTCCTCATTTTTTTCTTATTTATTTTCTTCTAGAGACAGGCTATTTAGAAGGATTCTTCTACTACTCATGATAACCTACTATTGAGAAACACAAGTTATAAATCTGTAAAAAAAGGAAATTTTAATGCCATGTTGTGCCTTTTGGAAAGGATGGGGGGAGTGTTTGGAGAGGAAAGGTGTGGCAATTAATGTCAATCAACTGTTCTGGTATAACGAGGAAAGAGGTGTTATAGAACCTCTTCACTCTGTAGGTGATGACTTGGGCTGTTTCCAGAATTTATTCACAAGGGTGCATAGATGGACAGATAGATAGATAGATAGACAGACAGACAGACAGACGGACGGACAGATAGATAGATAGATAGATAGATAGATAGATAGATAGATAGATAGATATTAAAAGCTTGTCCTGATAAACTTCCTAGGTAAGGGAAGTTCTAACTGCCCAAAAAAAAAAAAAAATGTTGCTGCTACTGCCATATAATATCTGAGTAAGAGCTGATGGGTGTGTTATGAAGTAACCATGCTCACAATTAAAAAAACAGAAGAGTAACTACCAATGATGTGAAGATGCGGGGTTTTTTAAAATTCATTTTTGCCTTTTATCTGTGGACATAGCTACATTTCTGAAGAAACTCACCAGATTCACAGAGAAGGGTGTTCTCAAACTGCTGCAGGCACACCATCTCTAAAACAGCTGCAGGTGTGTGAAGGTGGAAGGACGGGTTGGGCTGTGGATGCTCTGTTTGTGACTGAAATAGTCAAGCAGATTGTCTTCAGACACACAGGGACAGGTCTGCTGATTGGTGAGGGGAAGCACAGCCCAGAGCGAACTGAAAAGAGGGAAAGAAAAAATTGCCATCTGGAGACTGAGCAGCCTATCAGATAAGTGGAAAGCTATTGAGAAATACGGAGAGCTCTTGTAAAATTACCCCGCTTGGAAATCTGACTGAATAGCTAAATTCTCCCTTGTCCCTGCTCAGACATGCTGAGCAGTTAAAGGTTTTAGAGATCTACAAAAGGCTTGTTTCTTTTGTTCTTGGTTTGTTCCTTATGTTTAAACCAAACAATACTTAGCTTTGAAAAAGTTGATTAATCACAGCTGTTAAATACCGTGTATTGAAGAAAGAAATACACCAAAGAACAGCTGAATAGTAGATTTCAAGGGAGAGTCTGATAAAATGGTACTCAGAAAGATCAGCAAGGGTCAAAGATGTAGCTGGGGCAGCTGGTGAGCAACTAAAGCTTTTCAGTAGGACTTAGAGTAAAACAAGGACTCTGGCTGGCAAAAAAAAATCCCAAATAATTTTCATTTCTCATAATTACATATCTTGTTTTTTCCTTCTTTTTTTTTTTTTTTTAATGATAGAGGATTGTGCATGCTTGTGCTGTGCATCCAGCTGACTATGTGAAAAATGTGTATCATGTTCCTTCTCAAATTCAGACAGAGGCTAAATGGGGCAGACTCAGAATGCACCCTAAATCAAACCATTAACTCCACCTTGTTGTAAAAAGTCTGCTGTAAACATGAAATCTTTCCTAGACCTCACAAAGAGACAGTTTTTCTAAGCCAGTGAGTCCCTGAAACCAGTTTTTTGTACTGTCTATTTTCTGAAGGAAGTTTCACCAACAGTTTTCATCTGGGCCAAGCAGTGAATTCCACCAAGGAGGAGTCCTTTGAGACGACAAGCTGTTACCCTGGGGACTTCCATGGGCAGAGGAGAAGACCCTTATTTCTTTCAGAACTAATGTAACTGTGATTTTGCAGGTATGTGAATATGCAGAATCCAAAGGTTTGCATAATCTTTCTGTGAGATTGAAAATAAGCTCCCTTGTCCTGAAATATATTTTTAGGTACCATAAATACTATTTTCCTACATAAATAGTATGAAGCTTCGTTACTTAGAGATGACTTATATGCTATAAATTGCATTTCTGTGATGATAAAGTGAGTTTGTAGCTGTTGGTGTACCGTAGAAAAGCTCTTTTATTAAAAAAAAAAATATAAAATTATAAATGCTCTGGATTGACTTCATCCTTTTTACCTTTGATTTATTTAGAGAATGAAGTAATGAACTATGAACCTTTTAGCTAAGTCTAATTTTGCCTCAGGAATTATTCTGTCCATCATAAATTAGTTTTGTTGTATATTAGGCACAAATACAGCTCTATCTATTTCAGCCCATTTAACTGTCATTCTTCACTACAAAAGAAAACAAGATTGAGAATTTCTAGTTTTTACCCACTGCTCCTTCAGTCAATTTTGCTTTTTTTGTTGTCCACAATGCTTGCTCTCAAATCAGTGATTGTGTTGATTTATTGGCAAACCACAGTTTACAGTAAATGTCATCCTAGGGTAACATTATCTGAAGCAGAGGTACTGAGTGACTGAGTAGGAGCTGTCACAATGGATTATTCATACCATACTTCCCAAAACCGGCATGCATCTCAAAAAAGACCAAACCAACAAGGAAGATTTTAATTTTTTTTCCAGATATTTATCAGTTATCATCTAGACTCCAAAAAAAAGGAAATTGGAAAGGTTAGTTACGCTGTAAATTAATATTTTACTGCACAGACTGCCTTCAGGATTAGACAAGCACAAAGGTGATATTCACAATTGTTCTTTTTAACCTATATTCTATCCGAATCTGTCTTTGCATATGCTTGTGCAATTTTATTCTACTATCTTTGCTTGATAAGTGAAACATCTAATGTCAATTTGATCCTGCTTGAGTCCAAAATAGTCATACCAACTCCAATCTGCCTAAGCTTCAAATTTCCATGTATTACCTTCAAATATTGACACATTTATACACTCTTGCAAACAAGGAAGTAAAAGAGTTCCTTAACCCTTAGCACAAGTGATTGCTTTTCTTTATCCTCAAAAAGAAAAAAAATCTAATGCCTAATTACAGAGGTTTTGCTCCTCAGTTGTTTCTTGACTGTTTTTAGCTACAGATGCATCAGAGTGAGAGTGCAGCATGAGCTTGTTTTGTAAACCAAGCAACCTTTTTTCTAACCATGGCAGTTATATGAGAGGAATTTTAAACAAAAGCATTTTCAGCAGCTAGATAAGCAAGTGTCTTGCTGAGGAAGATGGAAGGCTAATGGTAATTCTTCTGCCAGAAAGCATTGGAAAATAAGAGCTGTCATCTAGAAAATGACAAAGCCATTTCTAGTCCCTATAGACTAGCACTCTATCTTATGCTGAACAAATATGCTGTTAAAGGTGTTGGCCTGCAAACCAAACACAGAAAAATGTCACACTGGTATCACAGTGGTACCATTAATCTGTGTTTGAAATGTATTATAATTACTAAATTGTTTGCATTAGGAGTGAGCCTTTCCAGAAACTCTCTGCTTAAAGACATAGACAAAACACTCAATTGTTATAAACAAAAAGCTTCTTTTCCAAGGAGCTTGTGTACAAAAGCATTTATAAGGTGTCCCAGGGTAGCTGAAGAATTTTGACCTGGTGTTGATTAGATCAGTGGCAGAACCAGAGATAAAGCATAAATTTCTCCAGTTCCCCATCTCGTGACCTGTT